GTAGAGGGCAGCCCCATCTGGTGAAGAAGTTCTTAAGGTGTGCACAGGTCAGGCAGGTCATTTGTCATGTCAGGAAGGTGACCCATTTCCAAATCATGAAAACAATAGTCAATGACAATTAAATAGCTCTCCTTTGCGTACTCACAGATGTCAGCCCCAAACCTTTTCCAGGGTTCCTGCAGTTGTGGTGTTGTCATCAGAGGCTCCTTCCTCTGTGTTGGTCTTGTCTGCATGCATTCGGGGCACTTTGTTACAAACTCTTGGATCTCTCCCTCTATCCCGGGCCACCACACACTCATGCTTGCTCTCTCTCTGCACTTTGTGATACCCTGGTGTCCACCGTGCAAATGATGGAGAATGTCACCTCTCATACTGTGCGGGATGACTACGCAACCCCATACAGAACAAGCCCTTTTGAGATGGAAAGGCTGTTACCCCACTGATGGTATACTTGGGCTTGTACTGGAACACTACCTATGTGTATTGGCCATCCCTGGCTCACTAGATGACTCACCACTTGCAGGTCACAGTCCATGCTCATATATTGCCTGATCTGTTCCAGTTTAGAGGGAGACACGGGCCATACTGTGTGAGCTGCATCTTCAGACACTGAGACATCACATTAGTTCACACACTTCACTCTGTATGGCAGATAGTGGTCATCTGGATAACGTATCTGCTACTGTGAGTGTTTTTCCCAGCACATACTCAGCAAGTGGGTTGTATTTCATTAAGTGCACGAGCAGGCCCAAACTACAGATAAGCACTCCTTCTCTTTCTGTGTGCAACACATTTCTGATTCAGTCAGCATTCTGGGGCAAAATGTTACTGGTTTAGCCCATCAGCATGTCATTGAAGCAGAACGCCACCCAGCTGTAGCTGCTTGTGTCTGTGCTCACAATAGTGGGCTTACTTATATCGTAGAAAGTGAGTGTGAGTGCAGAGGTAATACGTTTCTTTACCTTTTCAAATGCATTCACTTGTGCTGCATCCCAGGATCATAGTCTCACTCAGTAGGTCATTGAGGGGTTTTATAATTTCTGACAGGTTGGGCAGGTATCTTCCCAAGTAATGAACCATACCCAAGAACCTCCATAGACTCGGCACATCACTTGGTGGCTATAACTCTAAAATGGCTGCTATTTTTGAGGGGTCAGGCCGGATGCCTTCTCCATCGATGCGATGCCCCAGGTAATTCAGCTGTTTGTCTCGCAGGAGGCATTTCTGGGGATGGAGCTTCAGCCCTGTGCAGAACATTTTGGAACATCCCCTCGTGTTCCTTCTCATCCTTTCCATGGACAAGAATATGTACACCTCAACCCCTAGCTGGCCAGGAGACAATACTGACATTTCTGTTTGAAAAATCTCTGGTGCACTCGAAATCCAAAAAGGACGGTGTTTGAAAAAGAACGTACCTATGGGTGTGATAAATGTGGTTAATACTCTAATTTTCCACAAAGTTCTTGCTGCATCGATCAAGGAGAATACTTGAGATTCTGCTAGCCGTTTGAAAATTTCATCTATGGTTGGTAGGACGAATCTCTCTCTTTTCATAGCCATATTCAGGCGCTTTAGGTCAACACAAATACGCACCGTTTTCTTAGGAACTGGGACCATTGTGGCGCACCACTCTGTTGGTTCTTTAACCTCTTCTATGACACCACATCTGACCATCCTGTCCAGCTCTAACTTGACTTTTGGAAGTAACAGGGCGGATACTCTCTGTGCAGTGTTAACACAGTATGGTTTCGCATACACTCGAAGGCATATTTTTACAGGTTTTACCTTTAAGAGGCCCAGGTCTGCATCAAAGGTGCTTTGAACTTCCTCGATTCTCTTAACCAGGCCCATAGCCTCCGCAGCATTACGACTCAACTGGCTGCTGCCATTAGCTGTTTTAATCACATGAAGGGTGTACTTGTATTTCTGGCCTATGTGTTTGGTACTGTGTGAATGAGCCTACACAGTCAAGCTTACCCCCAGGACTGTCAAGGGTCGTACCATTCCTCTCAAGCTGGGCCGGGCACATGAGATTGCGCTAGGTTTCTTTCAATATCACGCTGGTGTCTGCCCCTGTGTCAATCTTGAAAGTTACAGGTGTTTCACAAATGTTCAGCTTTTACAGTCCACGGTATGTTGGAGAAATTGTTCTCCTGCTTTACTGGCCACTAACATAGTTAGCTCTTTCACCATTGTTGAATGGCACACGACAGCAAAATGCCCAATTTTCTGGTAATTTCGGCACTGTGCATTTCTGGCTGCACAGTGCGAGTTCTTTGATTTTTACCGCACCTAGAGCATTTCCTCACATTTCCGGCTCCATCACGATGTCTCACCGGATGAAAACTGCTGCTGCTCTGCTGCCTTTGCCTCTCTTTGCACTGTTGTGTAGGAGCAGCATGTGTGCGTCGACGTGCCATTTTACTGAGGTGGCTAGTGTTAGCAGTGCTAGCTGTAGCCTACTGGCTAACATGCTCCTTTACCTCTTCCGACTGTCTCACCATCTCCACTGCTCTTTCCAGTGTTAGGCTCGCGGTTAACTGCAGCTTCTCAGACAACACCTTGTCGAGGATGCCTATAACCAGTTCATCCCGAATATTCATCTACTTTTGCTGAACCAAACTGGCAGCTCTCAGAGAGCTCATATAATGCGGGAATACACTCACCTGAAGGATTATTAGGAACACCATACTAATACGGTGTTTGACCCCCTTTCGCCTTCAGAACTGCCTTAATTCTATGTGGCATTGATTCAACAAGGTGCTGAAAGCATTCTTTAGAAATGTTGGCCCATATTGATAGGATAGCATCTTGCAGTTGATGGAGATTTGTGGGATGCACATCCAGGGCACGAAGCTCCCGTTCCAACATTGCTATGCAACATCTATTGGCTTGCGATCTGGTGACTGTGGGGGCCATTGTAGTACAGTGAACTCATTGTCATGTTCAAGAAACCAATTTGAAATGATTCAAGCTTTGTGACATGGTGCATTATCCTGCTGGAAGTAGCCATCAGAGGATGGGTATATGGTGGTCATAAAGGGATGGACATGGTCAGAAACAATGTTCATTTAGGCCGTGGCATTTAAACGATGCCCAATTGGCACTAAGGGGCCTAAAGTGTGCCAAGAAAACATCCCCCACACCATTACACCACCACCACCAGCCTGCACAGTGGTAACAAGTCATGATGGATCCATGTTCTCATTCTGTTTACGCCAAATTCTGACTCTACCATTTGAATGTCTCAACAGAAATCGACTCATCAGACCAGGCAACATTTTTCCAGTCTTCAACTGTCCAATTTTGGTGAGCTCGTGCAAATTGTAGCCTCTTTTTCCTATTTGTGGTGGAGATGAGTGGTACCCGGTGGGGTCTTCTGCTGTTGTAGCCCATCCGCCTCAAGGTTGTGCGTGTTGTGGCTTCACAAATGCTTTGCTGCATACCTCGGTTGTAACGAGTGGTTATTTCAGTCAAAGGTGCTCTTCTATCAGCTTGAATCAGTCGGCCCATTCTCCTCTGACCTCTAGCATCAACAAGGCATTTTCGCCCACAGGACTGCCGCATACGGGATGTTTTTCCCTTTGCACACCATTCTTTGTAAACCCTAGAAATGGTTGTGCGTGAAAATCCCAGTAACTGAGCAGATTGTGAAATACTCAGACCGGCCCGTCTGGCACCAACAACCATGCCACGCTCAAAATTGCTTAAATCACCTTTCTTTCCCATTCTGACATTCAGTTGGGAGTTCAGGAGATTGTCTTGACCAGGACCACACCCCTAAATGCATTGAAGCAACTGCCATGTGATTGGTTGATTAGATAATTGCATTAATGAGAAATTGAACAGGTGTTCCTAATAATCTTTTAGGTGAGTGTATATTCTTCATCTGATTTGCCTTGCTTCTGCGCTCGCTGGTAAAAACAGGCTTTTTCATGAATAACATTTACTTTAGGCATGAAGTAATTATTTAACTTTCCCAACACAGTGTCGTAGTCGTTTACGTGTTCGTCCTGCCCTAACATAAAAGTATCGAAAACTTGTTCGGCCTACTTCCCTAGCGTGTACAGCAGCGTGTTAACCTGAACATTACCGGTCTCCAGGTTTAATTTAGTAGCAACGTGGTACCTCTGAAATCTTTGCCGCCACTCTGCCCACTGTTCCAGACGAGTAAAGCCGAAGTTTTAGGGAGGGTTAAACTTTGCCATGGTTAGAGTCCAAGCTGTGTAACTTCTGACACCATGTCCTGTTTGACCTTGTGCTCACATGACAGGGCATGACAAAATGTGCACCGGATACAATGATGAACTCAAGATGTATCGTTTCCAACATCTTTGTGTCGGTAAAGTCCGATTTATTGATATATCATTATTTGTATAATTATTTAGAAAATTGACCAACATTTTTTGACCTATAATTGTACATTTAGCAGGATTAACCCTCTCTAAACTTTTTTTTCAAGTGCACTCTCTCATCTCCCTGCTGTCAGTGTCTAATTCTCCTACGCCTCGCATGAACTGGAGGAGTGTCCACGTGAAAAACTCAAGATCACCGACTCCAGAGGGTTAAATTATGTTAAAAACAAAATAGAGCGTTATGGTTTACAGATTAATCACAAGTGTTAAGGTGTTAACATTAACAGCATTAGTTAATACGATTTAAAAGTGGCAAAAGGGAGTCTAATTTTAAAGTGGTACCAATAATACTTAGTGTTGCCATGCTTTGTGTGAAAAAGTTGTGCTTACCTTTCTGTTTTTCCAATGCAGCATGCTTTCTTTAGTATGTGTTTTTGCTATGAGATGCTGTGAATGGGATAGGAAGGTAAATCTGACATGTAAAATTTGACTGATATAAGGGTTAGGGGTACGGCAGTGGAAAACCGCATATTAAGGATGGACACATAGACAGCCCTACTTCAATATCATTATCAGTACTTCCGTACTAAAATGTTACTCAGTTGGCATAAATTGCCATTTGAAAGTATCAAAGACCAAGGTTCATTTCTCTTGAATATGGTTGCTATATTCTCCCGAAAACTTCACTTCCTCACGTACACTTATCACAAAAATGCAGGAATCCCAACACATTTATATTTCTTTTTTTACACATATTAAGATGATCTTAATTTTTATTTTGCAATAAATGCAGTATTATACATCTTGTTTAGTGGGATTTACTTCGCTAAACATACACCGACCATTACAGATTGATAATCATTTAAAATTAGTCATTCCACTATTAAATGATCAAATTTAAAAATGAGGTGCGCTATCAATAATACTAGCTCATAAAATACTTGTATCAGTATTGAATTAAACATCTATAGTATCATCCATCTCTATGGGTTTGACGACGTCTGGCTTCTTTGCTCCTTCAGAGGGTCTGTCATTTCTGGACTTGAAGTTCCCAGTATTCAATACATTTTCTTTAATTTATTGAGTCTTTCATTTATTCCATTCCAAGATCAATTGGAGTGATTGCCAGTTTGGTGTTTTCCCAACATATTGATTTTGGGAACAGTGACACCATCGTAGTGTGAATTACAAATGTAAGTCATAATTCTTTTAGTGATTTACTGAACTCTTCAGCTGAGATTTGTCCAAGTGTTTCAGTGACATTGCCCAAATTAGGTGCAATTTATTGCCTACCAGTAATTTTCCTGTTAACACTTCATAATAAGAATTTTGACTCATTGTATCATTATGTACCTTGGTACCCCCTTGAAAATATGAAATCCCTCCTCACCATCCCCCTAAACTGTTTTGTGTAATTTCATTCATGCTAATGGAAATCTACCAGCTATATCAGGGTACTCAACAGGTGAACTCTCTTCTGAAACACAATCTGCTCAGCAAATTTTATCATGGAGGACCCCCAAATCCCCCCCGAGGTACTTTTACAAATCGACCACTGGTTACAGAATATACAAAGCATAAAGAAACAGATTCTCATGTCATTTCTTTATAATTGTTCATTTGTGAGTGCTGCAGTTATTGAGTCAAATGATTTTAATGGCCCTCTTTGGATGCAGGAGAGGCTAAGTTCTCTGCCAATGTCCACTGAATTGATGCAGTGTGTGCATACTGTGTTCAGCTGCCATAGGAAGTAAATTCTGTGCTGGGCCTGGTTGGTCTTGATTGTCCACTTAAAGTCCTGAGAAAAATGTGGTTCCTGGGAACCTGAATGTCTCCAGAGTGATCACTATGCTGCCCTGTATTATAAGAGGGGGCAGTGGCAGGAGGCCACTGTTGTGTATGCTGATCTCCACATTTGTTTTGCAGTACCATTGGGTAGGCAAAAACACAATTTGTAGAAAGACAGTGTCCTCTTTGATGAGACCAATGACTATGGTGTTATCTGATAACTTCAGGGGTTTGACTGAGGGGTCATTAAAAGTGTAGTTGTGTGTATAGGCAGACGAGCACTGGGGAGAGTAAGCACTGGGGGAAACCAGTACTGCTTGTCAAGCATCTAGATACAAGGTCACACACTCCCTCATTAATAGAACCGGTACTGAAGGGATTAGCAAAATAATTATCAAGTTGAAAAGTACTACAGATGCCTTCCCTTACTCTTCTGCTTATAATTCCTGCTCCTTAACTGTAAAACCACCAGCCTTCCCAGGGCTTCCTAGACAGTCAAGAGCCAACCTGCTGCAGATGTCATTGCACTTGGGTCCATGCTGAGCCTCCAGAAAGTTTCTGATGCCCCTCTCTCCAAAGTTCATCCTGCTGCCAGCTGCCCTGAGGGAATGGATCTGAGGGTCTGTTAGGTAGGTCAGCCCCTTTCCATTTGCTGTCACCCAACCTGTGGAGAGACAGAGAGCCATAATCTCAGTTTAAACCAGGCAATGACCCAGCCCTCTGTTCCAGCCATCGCTAATCAACACTAACCTCGAAATTATAAACAAAGCATTAGCAGTCTAGGTTGACTCTAATCTCAGGTCTCATCAATGCCAACCAAACTGGCTTTATGAAAAGTAGAGTCTCTTCAAACACACACAGATTTGGTCACATACATTTTGCAAAAGAGAGCAAGATAAACTCAACTGTAATAATAGCTGGATGCAAAAAAAAAGCATTTGTCAAAGTAATTTCTGTTTGAGTCACCATATAAAGTTAATTTTGGACAATCATTCATTCAACAGATTAAATCACTTTACAGTACATCTGTGGCTTGAGTTATCAGTAATGTACAACCTCACCTCCAACTCCAAACTATGAGGGACCAGGTAAGAATGTGCATTTTTGTCATTATCATTTTCATTATTTTCAATTTGACCTCTAGTCAAATTGTTCAAGCAAACTCATGATTTCTTATCTACAAATAGCATATTCATCTATTAATTGCTAGTTTATTGTACTGTACGGGATGCTATGTCTCAGAACCCGCACCTTTCATTGACTATAGGTAACATTACAAATTTTGGCATGAATATCTCCTCCAATCTATCAAAATCGCTATGTCTATGGCTTGCTTCAACATATGTACTTCAGTTAGCTTATTAATAACTGGAGTCCAGTTCATTTAATTCAAAACAACTTTGATACACAAACCTCCTGTTCTATGGTGCTTGCATGGTATAGAACACATAGGCATACCTTGAAGATCTACAACAATTTCTGTGCCACCAGAGAATTCAAAGGAAAAATGGCCAAAGGCAATGGCATAGTCTGTGGCTTTATAATCTCGAACCACTTTCGTTGTGTTGTTGGTCAGCTTCACAAATTCTCCCAGCATATACGGCTCCACTGTCATGCAGCCCACAATGACGTTGCCTTCCAAAATCTGATTAATACAGCAAAATTCAAACTTTAACCTACAAGAAGATACTTTTGTGAAGGAAGTCTCATACACATATGTGTGTCACGAAATTTTCTGATAGAAAATAGAGCTTCTTAGTACTACAGTAAGTTAGTTTGTAGGGAATAGTCCTGAGGTTAATAAAAATACGTTGCTGGATAAGATTATGCATTATTTCTTTAGACTACTTATTGATAAAACACAATATTCCTTAATGACTAGCATAAGAGTCAACTTTTCCTATTAATATAGCTTTGTTTAACTGTATGATTATAGGCATGGTGAGACATGGAGGTCCACTAGGGATAAACAAGGCTGTCCTTGGCAGAACAGTGACATGTCCATTGGGCCCATGAGCAAGATCCTTAACCCTTCAAAATGCTACAGGGTGCTGGATAAATGGCTGACCCTGCAGTCTCAGAGGAGAGTAAGATGGGATATGTGTAAAGAAGCTTTCCAGTGTACCTGTGGTACCTGTAAAGCATTGTTTCCTCTAGTTGTAAGACAGAAAACAAACTGAAGTAAACACTCTACATATTCTAAAATTCAAAAGTAGAAAACAGTAAAATATGACAGGTGGTTTTGCATTTTTCTGATTATGATGATCAAATTACTTTACTAATACAATTATGGAGCATGTGACAGGTATGATGACAAATTACTCCAACAACAAACGCATATCTTAACGGAATTTGTTTAAAAACATAATTGCACAAGAAAAATAGTTTTGTTTAGGCTATATCATGATATTTCCCATATTGAACGATATGGATGTTCATAATCCATCCAGGGTGGCGGCATGGGGGTGCAGTGGTAACACTGTTGCCTCACACCTCTGGGACCTGGGTTCAAGTCTCTGCCTGGGTTACATGTGTGTGGAGTTTGCATGTTCTTCCCGTGTCGCCATGGGGTTTCCTCCGGGCACTCCAGTTTCCCCCCACAGTCCAAAGACATGCTGAGGCTGATTGGAGTTACTAAATTGCCCATAGGTGTGCTTGTGTGAGTGAATGGTGTGTGAGTGTGCCCTGTGATGGGCTGGCCCCCTGTCCAGGGTTGTTCCCTGCCTCGTGCCCATTGCTTCTGGGATAGGCTCCAGACCCCCCACGACCCAGTAGGATAAGCGGGTTGGAAAATGGATGGATGGATGGATAATCCATCCATTTTTCCATTTTCTGTAACTGCTTATCCTGTTCAGAGTCGCAGGGGGTGCAGAGCCTATCTCAGAGGCTATGGGTGCAAGGCAGGGAACAACCCTGGACAGGGGGCCAGCCCATCACAGGGCACACTCACACACCATTCACTCACACAAGCACACCTACAGGCAATTTCTCAACTACAATTAGCCTCAGCATGTTTTTGGACTGTGGGGGGGAACCGGAGTACCTGGAGGAAACTCCACAATGTCACAAGGAGAACATGCAAACTCCACATACATGGAATCCTGGATTAGAACCCAGGTCCCAGAGGCGTGAGGTGACAGTGTTAACCACTGCACCGCCATGCCGCCCACATGTTCATTATCAAGATACTATATTTTATTGATGTACTGCCCAGCCCTAGCAACCACAATTGTAAAGATGATGGGTGAAGATGGTCTGGGAGAGTCAGTAGGCTGAGTGACATACCAACAACACTTCAGAGGGAATGAAGAAAATCTGCATTTCAATCCTTTTCTCATACAACCTCTTGTTGAACTCTGTCACATAATGCTGTGCTGTCATCTGCCTTTCCACATCATTGAGGTGATAATGCAGCTCTTTCGCTGTGAGGTATTCCTTCCCAACATAACTAGGGTAAGACATGAGGGTTAAGCATACTTCTCCAAAGAACTCAAAACAACAACTGTAAGGCTACTTATGCACCCCAGTGATCCATTCATAAACTTTCGCTGATTGACACTGGGTAATTGCTGGGAGAGTGTTTTTTTGACCAGTTCTTCTTAGGCTATAATATGGAGCAAACTATCTGCGTACCAGCCCAGCATCTCCTCCTGGTGTAGAAACTGTACCCAGAATGCAGTTCTCTGCATGCCTTGTTTGCTCATAGAATCTCCAACGTAGACCTCAGTCTCCCATGCCGTCCACAAGCCTGCCACCTTAGAGTACTTCAAAAGCAGTGCACCTGGCATGAACATAAAGGCAGCTAACTGATGTATATTGTCCATACACTTATACACCCAAAATGTTATATATTCTGCAAGTTTCACACAAACCTCTGTAAAAACCTAGATTATAGCATTTCACATATTGTGTATTTTTGTATTACAATTATGAACACAAAAATGGTACTTACTGTAGACGCTGTTGAATTTTTTTAGTTTGAATATCCCTGTGTTGTTCAGTCTGTGTAAAAGACAATCATGACACACTCCTGACATCAACGATTTGTAGTCTTGCTCAGTTAGTGTACAGAGTTGCCCATGGACTTCACTAGCCATCATGCACTGGCAAAGACAATGCATACAAGACGGACTGCTATTTATCAAGGGCTTTCTGTTATTCAAATGTGGCCATCCAATGTCCCCTTCACTCTTTTCATCCCCTGTGATGACAAAAGAGTTTTCTGTGTCTGTTGAAGGAGATGCTTCCGGGCAGGCACCTGCATGGACTATGACAGGTGAACTTTGGAAGAGGCAATCTGGAGGCATGTTATCCTCAGTCTCTGCCTCAGGATCAACTGCATGCAGTCCACTGAAGCCACTCCAGACACCTAATCCTTTGACCAACGGGTATTTAGGTCCTTGGTGCTGACTAAGCAGCACTTGACCTGTGTGGGGTGCCACGCTCTTGGATAAGTTAACTGAAGGGAGTGACTGATTGATCATGCTTGGATGGCTAACCCCTACATCTGCCTTCATTGGAGATGTTTGTGGTTGGAGGTTTTCACCTGGCTGTTTTGGTTTCACTTTTTCTGATCCAATAGGTCCACAATTTCTCTTGTTTTCAGTCCAGCCACTCTGTTTGTCCAACTCATCTGATTCTGTGAGACAACTCATAAATGCCCTCTCATCCAGTCCTTCTGCAATTTGACTGCTACCCCCATTCTTGGTAAGTGAAGAACTGTTGTCAAAGGGTGATATTTTATGCCAGGAAGATAGTGAACCCCAGCTGTCACCAAGAGAGCTAGAGGATGACTTCAGCCTCTCATTGCACCCTTCCAGTTGCCAGATGTCACTTTCGTTGACACTGTTCCCATGCTGTTTAGATTGCTCTAGTTCTCTGACAGGTTCTGTGGGGCAGAGCATGTCAACTTCCCATTCCAGATTATCTGTACTTCGTAACCTGACATGCCCTTGAATGTCCTTATGCCCGTTTTCCAGTAGACACGGAGTTTGCCACGAAGACAGTGAACCAGTATTACAGCTGGAAAAATTCATCAGTTCACCAGCCAGGCTTTTCATGCCACCTACCACCAGACTATCAGGTGCTGTGATTTCAGTCCAGCCTATCTGTTCATTCTCTTCAGTGAACATTGTGGGACAGTTCATATCAATCCTTCCATCCACTCCCACTGCATATAGAGAAGTAAATTCCTCCTCACTGACCCCTCCCATGCAATGTGAAGAGCTTGTATCGGAGAGTGATGCCTTCTGCCAAGAGGAGAGTGAACCCCAGCTATCACCAAGGGAGCTGGTAGATGATCCTGGCCTTTCTCTGTACTTATCTGCCTCTCTTGCTTTATCTGTACTAGTCATTCCAGAGGTTATTGATTCAATACTGCTATTTTGCCACACCTTTTCACCATCTTCTGTGGGACACTGTGCATCGACAAGAGTAGTAGAGCTGAACCCCTGATACTGTGGAGCTCTTAGATAAGTAGAGGAAGCATATTTTCTTGACGGCAGTAAGCAAGCCCTGGAGCTCCCTCCATTCTTCCCCATGTTATCCCTCTGTTCTCTCTGTTTCCCCCAACTATTGGTTGGAGATCCCTCAGGTTTTCTCAAATCTGAGTGGTTCCCCAAAGCACATGCTGTGTCAGGGGTTTCTGTGACCGTCTTCAATGCTGTGATGCAAGGCCCATACGAGCCCTTACACCCACTCTTACCTTGATTGCCTGACGTGGCAAAGGCATCACAAACTGAGGCATGGTACTGACTGAACCTCCCTATAACTTCAGAGAAATTTGCCATTGAAAACTTTACAGGGACTTCCTCCATGGATTTATAGCTATTGGGAATGAAGGACCTCTCATCTGAGTTTAAGAAAGGTTGAATTTGGAAGAGCTTTTTCACCTCATCCACCAAGGACATAATCTCCATACTCAACCGATCCTTGTCTGGGCCATTTGCCAAGCTGTAGGCGTGTAGCCTTTCCATAGCCTCTTGACATATCTGCCTAGCCTGGCCAACTGGCCCTGCTGGGGATCCAAGCCATCTTTGAGTAACAACTAAAGAGAAGGCTGCCTTAACAAACAAGTGAAGCTCTAGCTTACTGGGCACTGCCTCATCTTCAGTCTTAGTTAGTAGGCCAATTTCAAAGGCCTCCTTGGCTTGGCTGAGGAAGACTTCTCTTTGTGTCTTGGGACAGCTTGGAGAAAAACTAAAGGACAGAAGGCAGGTTCCTTGGGTCACCTGCAAGAAAAGAAGGCAAATTAGAGTAAGAAAGAAATAATATGACAAATTGATGGAAACAATAGCACATAATGCAAATCACCCGATCAATTTCAATCAGCTAAACAGTCTTTACATTGGTGTTCCCTATAGGCACCATTTAACTGCCCTTAATTAATTTCAGTTTTGTACTGAAACGCTTCTTGTTTGTAAATGAACTCACCACATTGGACAACACATAAAGGGAGGTATATTGGCTGTAGACCACAGCCATCTTGGCTGCCTCAGCTGCTGTTAGGAGACGATGCCCTTTCGCTTTCAGGAAGGACTTCATAAGTAAAAAACAGGCACACATTATTAATTACTTTTGACCAATACAAAAAACTGCCATAGTTTATTACACTGATTCATCTGGTTATTCATTAAAACAGTCTTTACTACAAAAATATCATCTCACACAAAAGGCAAAACAATCATAACCTGACAATGTTTCATAATAAGATGAACAGCAAGGTAGAAATATCACATGGAGACAGACAGGATTTGCCACATAGCTGGGTGTAGTCTCGGTCTGAGCATGCTTACTTACCAAGTCAATTTGGGGACAGGTTGTAAAAGCATGAAAGTCTTTGTCGTTCATGGACACCAGAATGCTAGCCAACAGCCCAAGGGATGTTCCAATGCCCTGCAAGATAATTATATTCCCAGTGAACCTCCCCCAGTCCAACATATGGGTGTCTAACAATCAACATAGAGACAAAGATGTTAATTCTACTCAAGTACAACAAACAATCCAACTATACAGCAAACAGTACTCTCATCCATCTATCTTCCAACCTTTCTACCTGGTCAGGGTTGCAGGGCTGTGGTGGTCTTGAGCATATGCCAGGCAAACTGTACACTGAAGCTAGTCAATCATGGGTCACATACACTTGCAGGCTCTTAAACATAATCATACAAATCTGGACCTGTTAAAATTTTGAGACAAACTGCACCAGAATGGAAGCAGTGCTGTACAGTGATAGCAAAAAAAAGGGGAGGGGATGTAGTTCCAGACATTTGATCTCATTAGCACAATGACTCAAAAAGCATTTGATGGAACCTTTGCAAAAATGCACTCAGTGTCAGCAAAGAAGTCAATAAGAGGCTTAAACTTGTGAACAGGATAGCCATTTGTTGTTATTATTACTCTACTCTATTCTTTATCATTCATCTCGCTTATTTTCGAAGTTATTCTGTAACTGTTTAACTGAACATGATATAATGTAAAAAGAGACACCATGCCCCATTCATTTTCCTCTCACCATTGAGTCTTCCCAGCATAACTTAATATGAAGTAGTTTCCATTACTATACGTTGCTACAGTGCTACCTGCACAAAACACACCAGGGTCATTCTAGAATTGCGGGTACATTTTGCGTCTCCGAGATAAACCTTTTATTATTTTTCAAAAACAAAAAATTTATTGAAAGAGTTTTGAATAATTACACAAATAATATCAAGCTATCACTAAAAATAATGTTTATATGTGTATTTAGGAACATTTTGTCTTGAAAATATTAAATTAAAGACTCCCTCTATACCTATTTTTGACTGTCTATGCCTCCTGAATCATACATTCATCTTCAATTATCATGAAATAATTACATCTAATTTTAATCTTTTTTGTGTGTTTACTCTACTAATTTATGTAAACAGTTGCATAAAACATCTATTTTCTGTATTATTTGTAATTTTAGTAATTAAAAAATACATTTTGTGTCTGTCTCTACGTTCTGGTCAACTCCGTTAACTCTATTATAAAAAGGCATAACAATCTTTAAAGCACTGATAGAAAAAGCATGTGACTTGCTCCAAGTGATATCACTTCCTCTGGCGGGAAGGTATGTCATTATTCCTCTCTCATTAATTTGTACAAAATGTTTAGGATACACCAATAGTAGATTAATTATTTGTCAAATCTGTTATTGTGATATTTCAGTGAATCTCTCATTCACTTTTTTAAAAACAATAATATGATGAAAATACATAAATTTCTGTTTTAGACATGCCATGTGGTATCTGGTTTGAGGTTAGCATCTTGAGCTAAAGCACAAAATGGTGGAAAATGTCAACTCTGTTATTGTCAACTCTGTTAGTGGTCTAAAAAGTTTAATGATAACAGAGTTGACAATGATTAACAGAGTCAAATGTTCCCTACCACATTTAAGCATTTTGTATTATTTTACAAATATGGATTCATTTTATTGTAAATTATACATTTGTTGTTGTATATCATTACAGCTTAAGGAAAATTAATGATAGGTAAATGAAGCTGTCAGCAGCAGAAAGGCAGCGGCAATACAGGGCACGGCGAGATGCCGACCCTGTAAAGAAGTCAGAAAATTTGAGAAAGGACAGAGAAAGATGGCACAAAAGGAAAAATGCAGGGCACACAAATGAAGTGGCTGATCTGTGTGAAAGGGAGAAAAGGTACAAGCGCAGGTATTGGAGAGAGGCACAGCAGAGGTGCAGAGCAAAAAGACAGCGACTTGTAGAGATGACACCACCACAAAGTCCTGAACTAGACCCTGAACCACAGATATCCAGGCAACATTAGGTCCAAGAGTAGAAATTTATTTAGGTTATGTAGACACATGCAGATTGAGGAAAATTAAGTTCTGTGTTAGGACTAACAACATAATAACTGAACTGTTTCCTCCAAGATGTTGTGTCTTAAAGGTATACTCCATAATTCGCACTTAATTTTTATCCTGCATGCATAAAAATGGAAAAAATCACTTCTTCTGGCCAAAACGTGAGGATACTTTGTGGTATCTCTTTGATGATGTCCTCAGAATCATCCCTCAACCAACTCCAGTGACCGGACGCCACGTAGAAATAAACAAAGACATATGGGCAGAAATTGCCAATAATTGATGTGCATGCCCAGGGTGTGAGAGAGCAGCTGTTGAATTTTATTTTCCAGACACACGGTTAACGGACACACAGTTAATTTTCAAGTTCATGAAAGATCTGTAATTAGTATTTAAGATTAGATAGTTGTTTTTACATTTTAAATGGTTTCAAAAGTTTCAGAGTGTGACAGAAAACATTGTTGTTTTTGGACTATGGGTGGTCAACTCTGTTATTAATATCAACTCTGTTACCATCAGTGTCAACTATGTTTGTTTAAGATTTTGCTTTAAAAATATCATTATATATGTTTTATTGTTAAAAAAATGATTAGAAACTGATTAGCCTAAATAGTTTTCTTACTACAGGTACATGAAATGTTGTAGAATTTCAGTCATTTTTAAAGCTATGTTTAGAGAAAATGCACAATATCTTGGCAACGTTTCAGTTAAAAGTGTTGATATTTTTTACTCTAAAAGAAAAAGTAAAAAATTTATCAGGCTTAAACTTGAATTAATTGATGAAAAGACATAAGTTCTCTTACGGCAGACAGTGTTTTAAATTTTGTCACATTTGTTAACTGTATATATTTGACCCAGTTTGTCTATGACAGAGTTGACAGATTTTTCTGTTCGTACTTTGATTTTCAGAATAATTTCTAAAAATCTTACAAGTTTAAGATCAGCAAATATTGAAAATATTAACGTTGAAGTATGTTCTATGAAAATAAAAAAGTTTAACATAAAAAGAAAATACTATTTTTTGTCTTCTTTTTCTATTTGAAATGTACCCGCAATTCTAGAATGACCCACCAATATTACAAGTCCTACATACTATATTAAAATGCTACATATGCACACAAAACGCACACATAATTACACTGTATAATGTTTACTTTTGTCCTCCACTCTGGCTGCTGATGGAACATTTGCACAACTCCTGAATGTTAAAATATTCTCTGTACTTAATTTCACATTTTTTAAATGCTTGTTTAGTCTTTATTACAGTTACTTGTATGTTTCTCTGTATTTCTATGTGCCTTTATTATTGTAAACTGCATAAACTGGAGTCACGTCGTCTCGTCTCACTGTACATGTACATAACTGAGATGACAAAGTTTACTTTGACTTTACTATATCAACCCATTCTTTCAGATCAGGAGATGTAGGACATTTCCAATGACATATCATCATCCTTAAAGCAGCAATTAAACAAACTTTTCAAAGGGTAAGTGGTTATGCGGCACTTCTCTACTCTATCTGATCTTTGATCGATCTTATTACCATTTCACAAAAACAATATATGGATGAAAATCTACCCTTGAAAACCTTCCCCATGATAGATCCCAAATCAAGCTAAAATTGGAACTGCAGGACAGAGGGCAGCAGAGGGCAAAAACGGAGCCTGCAGCTGTCGTCTTATAAACACGTATTCCGTGGCTCTTTATCCAAAATTTCCCAGGAACATAAAGAGCAGAGATTGTTAAACTGCGGGTGTGAGATTATTTTCTGAATATTCTATAATAAAGTTTATATTGTTTCTTGTGACCAGCCCCCCTACTCAACAAATTTAAATTGGTAGCAGTCTGCTAGCCAGTCTGCAAAATAAATTGTGGGAGAAATTTATCATGGGGGAGCATAATCATGTCACATGTTTATGGAGAGGTGGGGAGAGTGTGTATTTTAGGCTTGTAATATGCCCCCCCCCACCAGCCCTAGTCCAAGTCCAAGTCAGTGGTGATGAATGAAAGAATCAGTGCTGATCTGGTGAACCTAACTGCATTGATGAAGGGCTTCTTCCTTGCTTTGTGGGTCTTCAATCCTGCTTCTAGGAGCCAGTTATGGATCAGCGATTTAAAGCAGTGCACTTCACACCACATAAAGTTTAACATTCGTTTTGAAGGTCACTTGAGGCCATCCTTCGACTTATGAGATTGTTCGATAAGTTTACGGTCATCTCTGGCATTAGAAAGTTGCTTCTGCCCTCTATCTGGCTGGTTTTTGGTTATTGCCAGTGTCTCTTACTTGACCTTGCTCTTGTATACTGCTGTTTTAGAAACTTTGAGCCTGGAAGCAGCCTGCCTCGCAGTATAGCCTTCTGCCAGCAGAACCACGATTAAACCAGGATTTAAAAATGCAGATTTTGTAAAAATATAAAGTGGTCTCTTAATTTTTTCGGGAGCTGTATATGGTTGTAATAGTTCTAAGGCACTAGAACGTTTTTTTATAGAGGACATGTGTACCTTTTTGTCAGGTAGAGGGAGAGCAAACAAGCCAACAAGAGATGCCCATATCAGCTCAGCAGCTTCAAGCCACAGTCCTGAAATACAAAACACTCAGTCAAAACATTAAATAAATGTGTGCACCCAGACCCACCCAGCTGAGCACAATCATACACATGCAGAAGGAAGCACAGCCTCCATCCAGCAGAAATACACAGACACTGCTTACCCAGCTTCTGCAGGACCTGCCCTCGTATCTGGATACTGACTGCCTGGACAAGAGTTCGCTCACTATCTGTATGGTACACCCAGTGCCCTGACGACACACAGATAGGTAATGGTATTCAGCAAAGAAAAATACTATCGGAAACAACACACATTTAAAAGCTGCACGAAACGTCACATATGGGTTAAATGCAGAGGACACATTTCTTTGTTGTGTACTGTGTGCTGTGGTGTGTCAACAATGACCACTGATCTTTTTAAAAGAGAAAAAAAAACACCCACAGAGGCAGTCAAATGTAGTATACCAGCATTTCCCATCCATCTCCATAAGGTGGATCTTAGACATGGGATATGGGTTCAGTTCTTAGTTGGCCTGAGAACACCTGTATATTTACATCTATTTAGCAGAGGGTTTTGTCCGAAAGGACATACAAGTGAGGATCACTGAGCAGGGTCAGCCAGTCCCTGGACCAATTTAGGTTAAGGGTCTTGCTCAAGGCCCCAACGGTGACATCACTCTGCCAGACATGGGATTCGAACCAGTGACCTTACAGTCACTGGCACAGAGCCCTAACCTACAAAGCCACACACTGCTAAATGTCGTATCATAAACTGACGAAATAAAGACAAAGAAAGGCGGAAGAACTAACACGCAGAAGAGCGGTTGCCCTCAGACACCAAGATCACATACCTGTCGCTCCACAGTTGTTAATCAGACTGCTGAGGATATACTCTGCTTTTTGTATTTTACCTGCAGTGAGAACGAACATGTCAAAATGGCAGTGATTTCTATAAAACACTGAAATTCTGGTTTTACCTGTAAATTAATAAAACACTTGAAAGAAACTGGCATAATTCATACAAGCAAGACATATTAAAAATAAGGAGGGTCTTCAAAAATGTCATTTTGTTCAAAATACACTTAACATGTTATTGGCCTACAAGATTCCAGAACTTCCATTCCAAGCACACACTCCACATGCACTGACCGCTCAGTCTCCTCTGACTGGAGATCTGTGGCCAGATGACGTACCGGAGTTAACAGAGAGGCGGGCCTGTCGAATGACCACCTGAGGGGGGATGGGAGTGGCTGGATAGTGCTTGTGCAGAGCCTTAACGATACACAGCAGCTTCTTGGAGGCATCTGCCCAGTACAGGAAGCGGTCTACCAGGAACACGACAGAAATGGCAAACTGCGAGTCCCCGACCGCAATACTGGCCCTGAGAAATTTCTGCAAAAGAGCGACAAAGACACCAGAGAGACCCCAAGCAGATTCGCCAGTCTGTAAATGAGCTATAGTGAAAAACCATCACTGAATGAGATACTGTTAAGGTTCTAATAAGTTTGTTTCTTTTAAATCCCAGGGGCCAAATTTCCCTTCAAATGTCTATAATATTAATTTCTTGGCCTCTGTTTTTGCTACAAAGTACAGTGACGATAAAGGCATCCTGATTCTAATGTAGCAAAATTTCGTATTATTACTGTTCCAGGAATTCACGCATCTTTAAATGCTTCCTTTAAAATTAATTGATACAACGTTAATATCACTGAAGGTTTTAGGAGTCCAGTACGAAGGTACATGCAATCCCATTCTAGTACAGTATATGACTAATTGTGTTGTACATATTTCCATTTTAACTCTAGACTCGCAAACAAGTTAGTAATTCCCAAGTTAGTAATTTTATTATTATCATTGGCTCCTTAGCAGATATTTTTAGTGACTTTAAAAAGATCTGGATCATCCCATCACCAGTAACTGGGGCAGATGCTCGCTGATGAGATCCTGAAGGTTGGTTTTGTCCTCTGAAGTTACTGATTCCTTGTACTGCCATTTCTCTGGGACAAAGGGCCACTTCATCGCCACAGCCTCCTCCAGGAGCATGCTCAGTTCAGCAGAGAGGGATGCTGGGAGTCAGAGTCCACAGTTGCAGACTTAAATATACCAAAACTCTAGGATTTGACTTGGTCAAAAATTACATTGGTATATGTTTTTTACAATGACTTACAACACTAACTGAACAATAATAATTTACATTATGTGTAGAATTTTAAAAAGTTTATTTATTAAGCTATCGGAGTGACCTTAAAAGAGCAAAAGCTTCATATCATTCATTCATTTTGTAGAATGGTCCAGCAGTTCATTAGATGGTGACTTCTCAAAAAATGTAAATAGAGTGACATGTGGTCCCTCACCCTGACATCTCTGGAACTCCACTTTGTCCTCCTCTGAGGGCTGTGCTGGCCCAGCAGCTGCAGCCTGTCTGCTCTCCTCCAGCAGGGCCGCCACCTCCTGGCTGTTCATGGCTGCTGAAGCCTGCCCTCACCGTAGATGCAAATTCCTGGAGATCTGCTAGTACAGAATACAGCAATATTTTAAAGCAAGATGAGCAGGGAAGTCACGCAGTCTTGACTCTTTGCCAGAGGGCTAAGGATCACGGTTAGGACTTGGCTACCTAGTCCCTGGTATATGACGTCCCACGTTGTGCTTTCAACTACTTGCACAACAAATAAAACACTGCAGATGTTTTATATTACGTTTTTTTATATATAATTATACTTTTTTTATAATTACATAAAAAACAGCAAATTTGATAAAAAGGGCTCGAGTCATTGGATATAGGTGGATACCATTTACCTGTTTGAAAAAATGACAAACACATCCTCTTTCAAAATATACCATCCCCTTCACTATGCCCCAAAATTGTTTTGTGTAATTGTCAATCATGTTACGGTAAATATGCCGACTGTATTAGGGGTATTCACACGCCGAACCGAAAAACAGCGTAATACGGAATACGCGGTGTGTAACCTACTAGACACTGATCGCTTGTGAGATTTAAAAAGGTGTATGTATCTTGAACGCTGTAACAGATTTTATTTCATGACACGCGTTTTAGTGTCACGCAAGTGTCGTAGATGTATAACACATCTACCGCCAGTAATCTTGCATTAAGAAATAAAATCTAGACTCGATTACATATACATAAAAAACCTAGAAATTAAAGCAGTGGGTTAAAAAAGTCAGGAAACTTTTTATTCCAGTTCATTCAAAACATCAGAAATCTGAAAGACCGGATCTCAATACACAGAGTTGTCACCCGTCACGTAGCATATACTGTAGTACGGGGTTGTCCCATATAGGCTAAGCTATTAAAAAATAAAACGCAATTTTAAAAAACGTATTTTTTCCCAAACAGATTATTCTAATCAAAGTCGGTACTCACTTCTAAAATCGCAGCCAATTATACAAGATGAAAACATCGGTAGCGATCCAAAGTGCTGGCAACGCCAAGACAAAAACTGGACATATTTCTTCCGGTTATGGAGTAACTTAGATTCGCGTGCGATAAACGTTGCAGTCAATATTAAAATCAGCCTCCCTTTTGGTCGATCTATTTAGAGTATATTTGTTTTAACCGCTACAGCATTTTTTTAAGTTTTCGTTTTTAATAGTTCTTGATTGAAGTTTGCCGTACATTATTTTACTAGTAACATAAACACAGCTTCTCAATTAAACATAGGCCTACTAAAATAATTAAAAACAGAATTGCTGCCGGACGTGATAATTTGACAAAACGTTTTTAAAAAGTGTCTACCGCATGTGAAATTGCAAACTCTGTGGACATTTAAACCGCTTCCTCCTACTTCGTATCGTCGACTCCCGTAGTAACAACTTTAAATACCGCAGAACTAGGAGTCTGTGTTAAATTGCTATACGTTTAAAACAGAGCCAGTATTTTTCAGTTTGAACTTACTTGCTGCAATCAATACTGAGTAATCAATATTGATTCGGTTGTGATTTTTTTCTAGGTCGTCTGCAAATCGTTTACTTTTTCCGTCATGAGGGCGAATTGACATACAGATATACAATACTGTATTTTCCTTCTTCAAGCTTTGTTCGACTGTTCTAGAAAGGTGTATTTAAAAAAAATGTACTTTACAGGGATTTTCATCTCAGGAGGGCACACGCCTGGACCCCCAGGCAGAATGTCTCCGCTACATTAATGTACACACTCTTACATATTCGTTCTGCTGCGCTGTATAATAAATGACATATACAGTAACGGTAAGAGTACACAGTGCCACTCTTTTAATCCCAGCAATTAGATTTTTTGAACATGACAGAAATGATCATGATGATATAATTTCCAGCCACCGAGGAGACCTGCTTATGAGGTAAGGGACCCCTGGGCTTAAGGAAATTCCCAGGATCCATGGAGAGTCCCCCAATCAACACAAGAAACTCTAATTACCTATTAAAACGTCACACGTAACTGTTTCGGAATCTGGTTTTGCTGGTCATTTCACGCACTGTAATATAAGTCGAATGACTATCGTATTATTAAAATAGAAGCAAATGAAAGCAAAATTAAAACTAACCCAGGTTCTGTAATGTTGGAGTTTCCCAACAAAGAACAGCGCATCCGGTTACTGCAAGAAGAGCCTATTACCGCAGTCTAACGGCGATTACGTAATCGGTGTAGGGTATCCTGTTGCTTCCGTTTCTTCGCCTAGGCGTCTTAAAGATTGCAAACGAGTTGGATAGTCTTTTTTGCTGCAAAAGAAACTAATACACTTTCTGGACTTCTCTGTTTATTGCTTAGCTCGGCTGGAACAATCGGCATTGCAGGAAGGTAAGTAGGGAATTGCTGTGGATTTGTGTGGAGCTGTGCCGGTGGTGCGCCTTGACGAGTAGATTTTTCTGGCTACGGTCAGAACCTTTTTGTTCAATGGGGTATCTTATTATTTTTCCGTTATATGCCATATATCTTCTTAAATATTTTAAAAAGTGAAATTCAACGCCTTTTTAAAATTTTGTTTATTATAGCGCGTTGTTATTGTTATTGTGTTCATAGTATATGTTCATAGTATGTGTCATCTTATACGGTGACTTTAGTTTTATTGTTGCAACTAATGTGTTTCGGTCATATGTGTAAACAAGTAACAAGTGAATTCATACTTATAAAGTAAATCAGTTTACGCTGAGAACTTTAGTTAGGCTACGTGTGGACCGAAAATAAAATGTATTATACATTATTACACATAGGGTTATTCCGTTTTAATTAAACAAATTTCCAAAATAGCTTTTGGGTCACCTTTTTGACTTTGATGAAATCTGACATGTGAATTACACATCTTCCAGAGCTCAAATATTTTTATTGTTATTGTTTTTAAAATTTCCTCCGAGATTCAGTGCCCTTTCTCACCGCGAACCAAAAGATAATTCGGTGTTTTCTTGTGAGCTGTAACTTTTTTTACTATTATAGCTATTTGACCGAGGTATATCTCAGTAGAAAGCTAAGAAATAGTACTTTTTATAATTTGTTTCACTTAATCGGGAAAAAAAGTACTGTTTACTTGATTTCAAACATCGAAAATGAGTGCAGGAGTTAAGAGGCTCCGAACAAAAAAGTCACTGAAACTACACATTAATCCCAGTCTCTTTAAACTACTTATTTAATAAATAAACAGCCTAAAGTCCTCCTGTAGTGTACCTAAAACATAGCGTAAAGTCTTGCAAAATGAAATAAGGCATACCATCGGTCAATTGAGTGAAAAAATTCACCCCTCCCCCATATGGCTTTAGAGGCTCAAAAACACCATTAAAAACCTTGTACGTTTTAAGGTTGCATTTCTCTTAAAAGGGACGGAGTAACAGTTAAGTATTACTTATGCAAGTATTATGCATACATTCGTATTTCATTATAAAAAATGGACTTGCTACTCCAAGTCTTTCACTGTTTTTTTCATAGCCACACACAACAACATGTCCTGATACTTAATCGGAGCTTATATCTACCTTTTAGCAAGCAAGTCCACTCCTTTCCGTTTTCAGTAATGTTAGCATGCCCAGGGGGGGTTGGTCAGCCAGTCGTCGTTAGACCCCCAGAGGTGGTTTTTTTTCTGTTTACTTGGGAGTTTTTGGTTCCTCTTCTCTGTTGTCTTCTGGCTTTCTTTAAGTTCTTTCCTTCCTTTTTCCCATTCTGTATCTCTCTCTAATATTTTATGTAGGCCTATCACAACACATGCATGTAAAGCGCTTTGGGACAACTCTGTTGGGAAAGGCGCTGTATAAAAATAAATTGAATTGAATACATGCACGCACACGTACAAACTCATTAACACTATTCATTATTGACTACTATTTATCATTATTATTTATCTTATTGCAACTTCAGTGAATAATGACAGTGTTTTTCTACCTATATTTCTCGTATTGTCTCTCCCATTAAAAATGTTTAGAATTGCTGTTTTATGTATTTTATTTCTACTTCCTTGCACAAACAAACTGCACCTTATCAGTATTGGGTTTACTGTGCTGTTTGTACTCGTCGAAGTCAGTTGTCTTGTCTTTTTGCACTGTCCTGCAATGTTTGAACATATTGCACACTATGCACTGTACGTTGTTAGGCTGTGATGTGTTAATCGTATGTTAATTTATCTAGTACTTTGGACCTAGAGAAACATGGTTTGGTTTTTAACTCCGTGCCGAACTAAATGTATGTGGTTAAAAATGGCATTAAAGACCTACTTAACTTGACTTAAGAACATAAGAAATTTACAAATAAGTGGAGGCCATTCGACTCATAAAACTCATTTGGGGAGAACTCAACTAATAGCTCATAGTTGTTAAATCTTATCTAGCTCTGATTTAAAGGAACTCAGTGTTTTAGCTTGCACCACACTAACAGGAAGACTATTCCATACTCTAACTACATGCTGTGTAAATAAGTGCTTTCTCAAATTCATTTTAAAATGCCCTCCAACAAACTTCCACCTATGGCCACGAGTTCTAGTTTTTAAACTAATATTGAAGTAACTATTTGGTTGAACAGCATCCAGACCTGTTAGAATCTTATATACCTGGATCATGTCCCCCCTTACTCTCCTTTGCTCGAGGCTGAACAGATTCAGCTCAGCTAACCTCTCCTCATAAGACATTCCAGACATTCCCTAAGACCAGGAATCATTCTTGTAGCCCTACGTTGCACCCTTTCCAAGATAGCAATGTCCTTTTTAATGTATGGTGACCAAACCTGCACACAATATTGTAGCATCACCCTTGATTTAAACTCCACACACCTAGAGATGTAACCCAACATCCTATTGGCCTTTTTAATTGGTTCCCCACACTGGCGAGAGTGGGACATGGAAGCATCAACATAGACACCGAGGTCTTTCTCATAATCAGCTACCTTTTATTTCAGTGGAACCCATAAAATATCTGTACTTTATATTTCTGCTCCCTGCATAGATTACCTTACATTTATCTACATTGAATTTCATCTGCCAGGTATCAGCCCAGTCACTAATTAAATCAAGATTCCATTGTAGCCTCTGTGCTGCTAGATCAGTATCTGCTACACCACCCACCTTGGTATCGTCTGAAAATTTAACCAGTTTACTATATGTACTGGTGTCAATATCATTAATGTAAATTAGGAACAATAGTGGTCGTAAAAATTGAACCTTGTGGTACCCCACTATGAACGCAGGGCCACTGTGACATTGTGCGTGTAATAACTACCCGCTGCTGCTTGTCTGTTAACCAGTTTTCGATCCAAGCTGCTACAGTTCCTAAAATCCCTGCAGCTTTGAGCTTAAGCAGGAGCTGTTTGTGGGGGACAACATCAAAGGCCTCCTGGAAATCTAAGTAGATCACATCATAGGCCTTTTTGTGATGAATTTCTCTTGTAGCTTCCTCAAAGAACTCAAGTAGATTAGTTAAACAGGATCTACCTCTCCTAAATGCATGTTGACTCTCCCTCAGAATGTTATTTGAATCCAGGTAATCAACCATTTTCACTTGGATTATAGCTTCCATTACTTTTCCAGTTATGCAAGTTAAACTGATTGGCCTATAGTTTGATGGATTACTTCTATTCTCTTTTTATATTACCATGCTTCTAATTAGATGGTACCACACCAGCAGATAAGGATTTCTGGAATAGTAAAGTTAAAGGTTGGCTAATAATATCCCTCATGTCTTTTAAAACTAGAGGTAAGATGCCATCAGGGCCCTGCGATTTATTTATTTTGAGCTTAGCTAGGCTTAAGACATTAACTATCCTGCAGATTAGTAATGTCAGCTTTTAGAGCTCATTTGGAGTTAAAATATTGGAAGAAATTTTTAATGTCATCCTTAGCCTCCAATGCAATCTTCCTTTCAACATTCCTCTTAGCGAGTCTGTTATTTTTTAACTCAACTTGTAGACTTAGGTACTCCTGCTTTATTTTGAAATCATTACTTAATTTCCATTTGTGGAACAGAGCCCTTTTCCTCCTGACTTTATTCTTAATTTCTGTAGTAAACCACCTTGGTTGCAGTTTCCTAGATTTAGTTTTGCTGGAAACTAGAGCTGGGCGATATGGCCTAAAAATAAAATCTCTGATTTTTTCACAAAAAATCCAATTTCCGATTTTAATCGATTTTCCCCTCCCCTACTCAACAAGCTACAGATGACAAAAATGGTTCAAAACAATTTTTAACTTTATTTAGCTTTTTTTACTTTAGGGTTAAAGTGCAATCTGACAAGCCATAAAAGATGCTTGTAAGTGAGATGGCAGACCACACCATTGTAAACACTTTTAGAAACTTGTAAAAACTTTTAGAAAGCTTTCTCTATAGCTTATTTTCAAACTGGCAACAACACAATACGCCCTCAAACTTATAAATAAAAGTAATAAGTAATATTATAATAATAATAGAAAAAAAAAAACACAATTTTATCATGTCAGCTTGGTATTAAGTAAATACTTTATGCCATTGGGCATGACACAGTGCAAAAGAAAGCTTTTGAAAAATTGCCAGTGTTAAGAAAAATGAGGCACGTACTTCGGGTCTAAAACTTTTAGCATGTTAATGAATCCCAGCTTTTCCACAGTATGTATGGGCACCATGTCTTTTGCACTATACATCGCGACAGCGTTTGCTATCGCCTTCCATCGTGCCCGATTCTTATCATATGGCACATAGTTCGAAAATGTGTCAGGGACGGTTGCTTGCTTAACTTTGTTTGTTGTGCTGGTGCTGCGGCTATTTTCATTTCGCTGGGAGCGGCACTTCTCCCACTCCGCTGCGTGCCTCTGCTTTACGTGCTGGAATAAATTAGTCGCGCTGCTTCCTTTGGTTGCAACAGTTTTTAAAGTCTTTGCAACGAGGACTTGTTTGGTCTGTGTCCGACCATATTACAGATGTAGCAACACCTTTCTTGGGCACAAGCGCCAGCTTTTCCCCTGTCATTGCAATGTTGTTAGTGAATCTGCTACAGTGTTTGGGTGCGCCGCGCTAATTTACCCGTGAAGAATGGTGCGTCGCATTAGTTCCGCTTTTGGCGCTCGTGTGTAAAAAAAGTAATAAAATCAATTTTCATGAAAACACATCGTCCTGAACTGTAAATTCGAATTAATCGATTAAATCGATTTATCGCCCAGCTCTACTGGAAACAGGTATGAAGTCCACTTGCACTTGCAGCAACGTGCTTTAAAAAAATTCCCATACCTTTCCAACAGTTTTGCTATTTAACTCCATCCAGTTTACAGTTTCTAGTTTCAGTGTCATACCATTAAAGTTAGCCTTCCTAACACTGTATATTTTTGTTTTGGATTTTGCTTTTCGGACACTAAAATTTATCTCAAATTTAACTATGTTATGATCACTACCGTCCAATTGTTCTAAAACCTCTAATTTTCCAACCCTATCCTGGTTCTTAGAGAAAACAATATCACGAATGGCTTCTCCCCTGGTAGGGGTTTTAACAAAATGAGTAAAAAAGCAATCCTGTATCAATTCCACCATCTTAAGTTCATTTACAGAAGAGCCAGAGACTGTCTCCCACTGTATCCCAGGTAAATTAAAATCACCCATAACCACCACATCATTTTTATTACTCATAATACTGATATCATCATATAACATTCTGCTTTCCTCTGCAGCTACATTAGGTGCTCTATAACAAACACTGACAATTAGGCCATTTGAGTTTTTAGCATCTAGTTTTATCCATACAGCTTCTGTTCTTTTATTATTATCAGTGAGCTCCCTTGCCTGCAAGTTTTCCTTTACATATACTGCAACACCACCTCCCTTCTTGCCTATCCGGTCTCTACGGATCAGCGTATAACCATCCATATTATATTCTTCTCCATCATTGTCACTCATCCATGTTTCTGTTATTCCTATAATGTTGTATGAGTCTGAAGGGGGAAAAAAGCCTCTAAATCATGAATTTTCATTTTAATACTCCTAGCATTTAAGTACAGATAGCAAAGGGTAGGGCTTTTACAGTGTCCACTTTTAATATTATTTGGGGTTTCCTGTCTCTCCCCACCTATATTCTCTGTAAACTTGATCTTGAAAGTAGTTCAGAAGATGAACTTTACCTTGAAAAAATGAATTTAGACTTATGTGAAATTTCAATTTAATGCGACAGGGCCATGAAGTTAAATTTGCCGATGGGAAGGACTCCTTTTGAGTTTTCCAAAAGCTCAGCTGTGTAGCTGTAATTATAAAAGACGTTACAGCCCATAAGAAAACTCTCAACTGTCTCATTGTTTTTTTTTGCTACCCATAAAACAGGCCCTAGATCCCAAAGAGGAAATTAAAAAAATAAATGAATAAAATCCTGAGCTCTGGAAGGTACATGTAATTCACATGCCAGATGGTGATGCGAGGACCATTTGCTGCATTAAAATGGAATTACTCAACAACAATTCACATTTCTACAAAATGTACACGAAAGATGCCATTATGACCGCAGACAGAGAATCTTTACCATCCTGCAGCCCCATATCCTGGTCAGGGTTGCAGAAGGTTGCAGGGGCCTGGAGCATAGGACACAAACCTGGTGTACGCCCTGGATGGGATGGGAGAGCGGGGGTATCGAATAATAGGCGGGTTCCAACATATATTTTTCTTATCATAATAAACAGCATGACTGACATGGTTGCATTTCGATCCAGGATTACAGAGCACTGGTTTTCTACTCTCTTGAAACATTATGTGCTGCAACTGAAACTTGATCCCACACAATAAAGGGGTCATTATTACACATTCAAGAGATGCTGTTTGTTTGTTAGTTTTAATGTTCCAGTGTTTTAATTATTTGTGATTTCTGTCATTTGCATTCCGACCCTGATTTGAGTAATTTATCTGAGAATATCAGAGAAAGTCAACATTCCTTTAATGATCCTTTTTTTTCCTATTACCTTCATAGCCCAATAAGTATGTATGTATTTTTGCATGTATAAGAAGGCATTTAGTGTGATTCCCTATGATAAGTCAGAGACCCATCATTCTAGGGAGGTTAGGAATTAATCCTGTATTTCTGTCACCCTTGTAGCATATTTGTGTAGAGAGATGTACCAAATTAATACCTATAAATGGCCCTGTCTCTGCTCTGTGCTCCTCCCTGCTTGTTCTCTGTCCTTTCTTTGACCAAATTCTCTTGCATTTCTTCCACTGAAGGTTAGCAGAAGTGAAAGTCTATCATCAGTACATTATGGATGTATCTCAGACCGAGAAGACAGAAGAGAGCAGGACATGTCTCCACATTAAGCTATACCACCCCCAGCAGTCTGTCCAGTCCATGTACCGCCTGCTTCCCCTGGGCCAACGCCTCAAGCACCCAGCCGAGGACCCACTGCGACTGGGCCGTGACGCGGAATCCTGCACTTTTGTCCTAAATGACTCTCGTGTGTCCCGCAAGCAGCTGGCCCTGCAGGCTTTCTGTACCGCCCACAGCTCGCAACTGTATTTTTTGGTGCAGAACCTGAGCCAAAGGGGGTGCCTGACTGTCAATAGTGGCAATCTGGGCTATCTGCAGTGGGCTCAGCTGCCTGACAAGGCACTGCTCCGTTTTGCAGGGTATGAGCTGTTACTGTGCCAGGAACCTGGAGAAGCAAAGGACAGCTTTGAGGTGCAGTTTGAGGTTGCCCATATGTCCCCCTGCCAGGAGGTGGGACTGGGGATACCCTGTAGGAGCCCAGTTATGGATACTGGGTTCCAGACTTCCCATTATCCAAATCACAGTGGCAATAGCCAGGTTCCCCTGGAAACGGATGAGAGCTGTTTAAGTACAGGACTCTTCTCCTAAGACAATTTGAGACTGGCATGTTCTGCAGTGAACCTTTTGCCCATAAACAGAATGAGCCGATGTCATGTGAATTTGAGTTGTGTTCCTAATGCAATTATGCAAAGAAATGAAGTCTGTTGTGTTCATGCAAGAATTTAGTTTCAACTATCAGGCTTTTCTAAGCAATTACTCAACCACATCCCTGTTCATCCAGTTAAATATGAATATGCTGTTGATTTCATTGCTAACTTGAAAGGGGAACAGCCTAAACCAGAAGCATTCTTTGGGGAAAGTTATTTATTTCCTAATCTTTTAGTAAACTACTCTCTCAACCTTCACTCTAGCATTCTGTGTGAGGGGTAGAGAATTACAATGCAAGGGAAATTGTTTGATTACAGCCATTCAGGAACCACCACACAATACTGACCACCTATAAGACTTTTTTCTTGATCGCCTTACTCAATCCTTTGTCTGCTGCTGATGTATTTGCTTATGGTCACTTGAATGACATTGGGTGAACATTTTATAACTGTTTCAAAAGGCATTTTTTATATTAATTTAACTGTGAAGTTGACCTTTAATGGGTTAATTGTGTTTTTTTTTTCTTATTTCACTCAATGCAATTAATACATTGTTTATCACCAGATGGCATTTTTGTTTGTATAGTTAGGCATTCTTTTATCTACATAGCTGTATTTTCAAACAAATGTGAATTCTTTTACGTACAAGCTGAATTGCAGAAAACTTAGTTTTTAAATTAGTTTTTATGAATTTTCTGTAATGAAGTTGTTTTTTACAGTAAAACTATTTCTAACGTAAATTACCTTTTATGCATTTAATAAAGTGAACGAAAGTAAAGGAATTGTCTATCGCTTTTTATGATCTACTGTACAATAATTTAACTGTGATAAGAGGACATGTACTATCCATCCATTGACAATACTTGGAAACTCTTTCAGGAAGTACTGTAAAGTATTGTATAGCTCTTGCTCCAATAAGCACTTGCCTGTATTACCAGTCATTCACTGGAGTCTAAGGCAAACTGCACTTATGTTAATTATTCAAGTAGGGCCACTTGCCCTGCTCAACACCAGTGTGAAATCACCTTCTTTCAATACACTATACCCTCCAGTGTGAAATCACCTTCTTTCATTACACTATATCCTTCATTAGGTGCTGGTGTTACCTTCCACGGACCAGGATTTCTTGCTTAGCTGGATAACTTCTCGAATTTAAGGCAGTCTGGGTTAAATGGATTTTATATTTGTTCACTTACAATTAGCCCAGACTATACCTTAAATCTGTCAAATTATTCGGCTAAGTAAGGAATCCTGCTTCGTGGAACACCTCCCTGGTTCAATCCTGGTTTGGATGAGTAAACAGTAACTCTAGCTTCCTGACAGATCATTTGTACTGGCTACAGTGGAACAGCTGTGTTATACAGCGATAAACGCCCATATGGCTACTCTGTCTTTGAGTACAATTTGTAGCTAAGTCAGATAAAAAAAATATATTGTAATAATACAACAGCAATAATAATAATTATGTACTTTAAGTTCATGCATTTATTATTACGAACCATTGTGTTTTATCCAAGTTTTTCGTAAGCTTTATTACAGCCCATTCATATTTATAACTTGTTGGTAAGTTGGATGTTCTTAACCTGTGGACTGCCCGTAACAACCCTAAATTAACTGGAGATCATGACTAAAGCATTCTGCAATAAAACCCCTATCCTAAAATAAATTGAAGTTAGATTTAATGCACATTGACATAAATGGAAAGCAAATTCACACATTCAGAACCTCTGAATTGGATTCTATTAGTGGACAAGTGAGTCATACCTTACATTTTCCAATTCCTTGTAGGTCTCCATTTCAATATGTGACATCATGTTCAGGGTCATACCTAGAAATTCTGGGCCCCCCTTCTAATGTTACATATTTGAAGTATTCAAGAGCCACTGTAAAGTGCTGAGTCCCTTGAATCTGCCAGTGTATCCATGCCCCTCTGATGCCCCTGATCATTTTTATCACATTTGTGGGCTATAGACATTGTTTTACTGCACAGGCTGCAGAGCATTAGGGACATTTCCACTGTTTCATTCACAGCACTGTAGCTAATCAGACAGCAGTAGATATCATTTTAGAGGAGAGGGAAACATTTTATAGCAGACTCAGAGGGTTAGGCATCTGTGTTAGTGAACAAAAGGTTGCCTCTTCGAATCCTGTCCTCAGATAAAGAGTTACATGCTGATTGGGCCTTTGAACACGGCCCTTACCCCCTGAAAAGCTCCAGGGGTGTCAGCTAAATGCCTAACCCTGCACTCTGACCCCTAGCCTTGGTTTCAACTGTATGTGTGTGTATTTGTCAAAGGGGAGCAACATGGAATCTGCAGAAACTAAGAATTCCTATGTACTTGGGTAAATGGCAATAAAGCATCACTTCATTTTAATGTGGGCATATAACTCCATCAATATCAGACATTAGAGGACTTTTACCAGCAGATGGTAGTGTTAACTCTGCCTTGCATGAAGCTTGGAGTATTACGCTTCTGGATACACCGTCAGAATTGTGAAAGGTTCAGTTTCGCCATCACTACACACCATCATCCACTTGCAGCTCCACAAAAACAGGGGGTTTATTGCAGGAACTGAATACACTGAAAACTGTACAAAACAAAATGACCACGAGGGGTCAAAACTAAACAGAGGAATGATGTAACTAACAGAACAAAAATTATCTACTGAGAAAATACAGACCAGGAAGCAAACATAGCAAAACAGAAAAACCAACATCACAGTATCAAAAACACAGTCAATGACTCCACAGGGAATAGAGCAGGATCAGGAACTTAAATACAGAGGGCTAACAAGGAAACACAGGACTGGTGAGAACAAGCAACAAGGACTGGCACAAGAAAACGAGCAATAATAAAATCAAGGAACTCAGAAACTAGGAAACAGAATCCAAAACTAGGGTAATATCAAAGGCAGGTAAAACAAAACCAAGGGCACAAAGCAAAAAAACCAAAACAGAATGTAACCCACAAAACACAGGAGCTAAAAGAAATAATTCAAAGAAAACACTCAGGGGGGGAAAAAAAACTACTAAATACAAACACAGAGGTGACTGGACTCAAACACACAACTGATAAGTTAGTAGTTGCATACTCAGCCCTTATTGCCACACAGCAATCCAGGGAGTTATGGTAGACAGAGCTGAAGAGCCTGAGTATGTACACATCTACATCTCTTCAGCCAGCCAGACGAGTATAGCCCACATCTCTTCATATTTACAGAAACATTGCCATTAAGAATGAAAAAGACCCTTTCAGAACTCAGTGTTAAGACATTGACCTTGTCACATTTTTGAAAGGGAGAGATTATGAGACTTAGAAGTTATAATATTATTCAGAATACTTTAATTAAATGCAGCCTGGTTTAGAAGTGTGGTTTCTGAGATCATGTCAGTCTCTGGAGTATGAGCATAGAATGTGAGAAAGTACCATAAAAGCACCAGGTACACTGGGCACGGGCTGGATTTTGGGCATTATCATGTGAAACAGGAAAGGGCAGTGTCCAAAGGATGCCATATATTAGGACACGTGATCGTCAGGGATGTCATTACATGCTGTACCATTAAGGTTTGCTTCTATTGGAAAGAAATGCCCCAGCCCAAGTGGTGCTGCTACTATGTACCATCTCACGTACTGACAAACATATGTGTGTAGCTGCCAATGAACAGTTATTATGCTGACATTGCATTCAGAAACTTTGGAACTGTGGATATGCTATTTTTATGTCCAACACACTTCAAAACTTGGTCGTTTTCTGGATGGGACTATTTTGCAAAACAAGTCCAGTTCCATGGCTGGGGGTTTGAATCCCATCCCTGCTCTGAATATGTGCAGATTTCCTTCTACAGTCCATAGGCATACAGTGATGTGAGTTGGTATGTTTCAATCTAAATTGTTGTGTGTGAGTGTTTACCCTCTGATGGACTGGCATCCCATCCAGGATGTACCCCAGCCCTGTTCCCTGGGACCAGCTCAAAGCTGACACTGTCAAAATACTCATATATTTGCTAATATAGATACAGTATATGTCACCAAATATCCATCCATCCATTTTCTATACCAGCTTGTCTTGTCATAATAAAATGTATCACTGTAATTTCAATTTTCTCACTTGAAGTATACCATTATAACATGAATAATCCTAAGTCGCAGTATGATTCATGAACCCAATAAATCAACCTGTACCTCTTGGCACAATCGTTGGAATGAAAAGTTACTGTATTAATCATTTTTACTACAGTTACTATTGTGATAGTACAGTTACTATTATGCCATGAGGCCCAACCTGTGAATAAATATGAGTTCATGATGGATTAGGATAAAATTTTGTGAATTTAATTGAATGTTTTTCAACAGTTTTCCCTCCCATGTCTTTATAAATCATGAAATAAATGCAAGAAATGTAATATATTGATTATCCCCACCATGAAATTTCATTCTATCAACTGTTTTAGGATTTTTCACATGAAAATGACCTGAAGAGGGCTGTATACAAGAGATGCTCTTGCAAAGTAACAGATTTGGAGCACTTTTGCAAGGAAGAGTGGGTAAATATAAAGATGTTGCATGCTGATAGACTGCCACCCAAAAAGACTGAATGCTGTAATTAAATCAAAAGATGCTTCAAGGAAATATTTCTTTACAGGTGTGCACACTTATGCAATCATCTTATTGTGCATTTTTTATATTTTTCCCCCGAACAGATTTGCTTGTCTTTTAATTGAATTGTACAGGTTATAGGTGACATTAAAGGGGGAAAAGTTTTTAAACGATTTATCATGGTCTCATTTTTTACATCACAAAAGCCTGGCATTTTAACAGGGGTTTAACTTTTTATACCCACTGTGTGTGTGCAAGGTATATATGATTTAAATTTGACATGAATGTACAGAAAAATGCAATACGTGATGTACATCCATCATTAATAATGTTCTTTAGTGGTCCAACCAGATGATATCTGGATGTGCTATTTTTTTTTTCAAATTTAGTTAAATCTACAATCATTAGAATGACCACCTAATCGAGACAAGCACTTCTCCTGTAAAGGGTTATAATCAAATTTATAATCAAATGATGTATTTTAAAATTAAAAGAGAATTTTCACTTCTTTTTGAGGATTTTTCTTCTTTTTCACATGGATATGCAAAAGATGCAACAATGCCTAATAAAACCAGTAATCAAAAGGGTCATTTTTAAAATCAAATTTGAAGGAGAAAATGTATTTATTTATTATGGAATGGATTGATGGAATTAAAAATGAAAATGCTTTCTGCTTTTACTCATTTATACAAAAGCCTAATAAAATAATACAAAATATGAAAAGCAAAAGATCAAAAACATTTTGAGTGTTTTCAATGTTTTTCTAATAGTAGTTGTGACAGTTGCACCACAGGATATTTTGACACTTTACATGGGCACAACATTGTCAATAACTAAAATGGTTTATTTAGGTACTTTTAATTTTAACACTTTATAAGGAAGAAAATTACTCTGGCCTGAAAAATAAGGTGTCATGTCATTTCCCATATATACAGTCATGTGAAAAAATTAGGACACCCCATTAAATATTTAGTTCTTTATTAAGAAATATCAACATATCAGTATTAAATCTTCTTTCAAATTACATCTGTAGATAAAGGCAATGTAATTGCATCATCTATGCAAAAACAAAAAACAAATTCACTTATTTAAGAAAAGAAATTAACTAAGATGCTAATTTCCACTGAGGAAAAAGTTAGGACACCCTGACATTCATCACTATTTAAAATTCCTAGAATTA